AGAAAGAAAGAAAGAAAGAAAGAAAGAAAGAAAGAAAGAAAGAAAGAAAGAAAGAAAGAAAGGAAGGAAGAAAGAAAGAAAGAAAGAAAGAAAGAAAGAAAAGTAAAAAAGAAAGTGGGAAGCTCTCGGAGGCACAGGCCACGGAGGGCGTGAAGGAGAGCAGACGTGGGCAGCACCACACTCTTCCCCTCCCCACCCTAATCCTGCCAGACTTCTCTCCAACACACCCCAAGTGTGTGGCTGCCCCGGGTCTTTGCCCTTGCTGTCCCCTCTGCTGGGAAGTGACCTCCTGCCCTGTGTCCCCATCCCTTGGTCTCTGCAGCCCTGATCAATTATTTGACTGATGGGTTTACTTGCATTTCTGGTCTCTTTTGCCCCCTGAGGACAGGAGTCTTGGGAGGCCAAGAGCTCTGGTTTGTTCCTGCTGAATCCTTCCTTGAAGAACAAGCCTGGCCAATGGAGGGGGCCTGAGACTAACTCGTTCACAGACTCTGATTCCTCAAAGCCCCGCTTCCTGAGGGCAGGGGCTTTGGGGTGGACTCCAAAGGGCCAGGAGACAGACAGGGCTGCAGCCCACCCCCAGCCCATCTTGAGAACAGAAGGGACTCGTGGGTTAAAACCAGAAGGTCAACGGCAGGGAAATCTCTTCTCCCTTCAGAAATTAATAAGCTAAATCAGATGGAAATAAATTTAATCTTCTCTTTCTTCCCTTATTACCCTAATTGGCTTAAATTTGTGGCAACTTCCCAGCATTCTCACAATGGAAACAACTCGTGTTGCGTTGGAAGCCCAGAAAGTAATTACCCTGTGGTTTTATTCTAATTCACTAACGGATACTCTTCAGCTTAAAGATCCCTGAGAGGGAAGGAGTAAATAATGAAGATTAGAAAATGCTTTTTCCATTCCTCTGCCGGTTGAAATTTTTAAACTATGACAGAAATAATTACTTAGGACCCTTTTCTTAAATTAAAAAAGCACAGAGCTTAGAGTGCAATGTAAAATGTAAATAAACGGATGCAAACATAAATACAACTGGCCAACTCATTGGCGAACTTTTAGCGGGTTTCAAATATTGCTGAATACAGCCTTGGTTTCATTCCAGCACTGAGCAAATTAAATTCTTTTTTGATTATCCCAACTTGGACATAAATTCTCCCCAGGGCTTATCCTAAGTCGAGTGTGCTTTGTGTCTTCATAGCAGTTTTTTGTTTAAAAAAAAAAAAAAAAGAGCACAAGGAGTCTCCAACCAACCCAATCTCTCTAGCAAGAGCGACCTTGACTGTCCTACTTGCAATTTATTAAAGAAAAGTTCAATTTGTTCTTTTAAGTCCCTCAGCTCTTTTCCTATTTCCTTTCTCACCTTAATGCCTGCCATGGACACAGAATGTCCTGTTAAGAAAAGCATCAGTGACAGCCGTTGACACCAAACTGGGGATGAACGGGGAAGAACACTATTTAAACAGGCAAGAATACATTTTCAAAAGACACGTAAAGGGATTCTCTACCATGTTCTCTCTCTCTCACACACACAGTCCCCAAATTTACCTTCAAGATCCTTTGAAAGTCCTGAATAACAGCAAAACAGAGACTAACACAATTTCCCTCAAGAGGAAAAGGTTCTGGGAATAGCCCCCAAGGACCACAGGTGACTCCTTCCCTGTGCCATCCCCTCTTCCTTCTCAATTTGGTGATGTGGCCGTGGGTACAGGAGGCTGTCCTCATCCCCAGGGCTCTGAAGTTGAATCTACCACTCGCCACACAGTGGGGAAAATTTTCCATCTACAGAAACAGATTTTCAGAGCTTGATTTGCCAAGACAGTTAGAGAGGTAGAGGAAGGGAGCCTGAGAACACAGAAGAAACGGGGTGCGGGCACCCCAGGCCTACCAGTCCACGGCGTCCGTATTTTCTGTTGTGTTTCTGTCTGCACCGTGCGTCTCTAGGTGGTGAAGCCTCTGAGTGGCACGACCGCTACCTCCTCTCCAAGTTTCTTCTTCCTCCTTGGTGGTTCTTCTGGCTAGAAGAAACCCCCATGGATCACCTGTGGCTTATAGATTACACAAAAGCAAACAGTCCTCCAAATTTGGGGGCCAATACGAGCATGTCAACTCCTCATTTTCCAAATACTTTGTCAGTTAGGGGAGCTCCTGAGGACAGTGGTGGGGAACCCAAATCAAAGGGGCTGAAACTCTCAGGAGAGCCACCTTCTCCTGTCACCAGAACAACAAAGGTACATGGCCTTGGGCAGTGGCACATCAGCAGACAGATGACATCCCAAGGTGTCTTGAGGCACCCCTCTCTATCTTGATCTTTCCCTGTCTCCAGCCTTCTATCCATATTGTCGCTTATGACCGGAAAAGACAATTAGTGGCAACAGAGATGAGAAGCCTTCAGATTCCAAACAGAGAAAGCAGAGAAATTTCTGCCCCAGAAGCAGAAGTTAAAATCCTTCCATCATCGAATCTACTGGGCTAATTCAGATCGCTGATGCGACCAATGAATGTCACCAGGTTAGACCAGGGGTTTTCAAACTTCTCTGACTTGGGACCCTTTAAAAATTCTAACAACTGTGTAAAAGTATGGAGAGCTTTCGTGCAGGTGGGCTACACCTATCGATAGGTATTAGAAATCAACACTTGGGAATTCTTCTACTATTTATCAATTCATTTTAAAGCAATTATTTCCTCATTACACAGTAACGTAAACAATATACTTGTTAGGAAAAATAACTGTTTCTTAAAGAATCTAGCAAGAAGCACGACTTTGTTCCTCATTTTTTTTGCAGCTCTTGTTTCATTCCAGTCTAATAGAAGGCGGCTGCACACCCCCTTCTGCTTCTGTGCTCCCTCCGTCACCACCCCACGTGACATGGAGCCTCTGGAAAACTCCAGGGTGTCCTCAGGAAGGGAGGACAGTGAAAAAGGCAATGAAGGGCTTAGTCCTAGACCCCCTCCAGGAACTGATGGCCACAGCCGTGGGACTGCTGGCTCACCGACCAGGATGGCCCTATGGAGTCGGGGACAGGGTGGAGACCCCAACAAACGGGAACCTGATGGAAGTGGAAGGGACCCTGGGTTTGGGTAGAAATCACCAGTGTCTCCTTCACAGATGTTGCCAGCAGACATAAACAACTGCCGTCTCCTATCCTCTCCATTTTCTTTCAAAAGAGCCTTTTGAAATCAAAGATACGGGATGAATGGAATTTCATGATAAAAGGTAGAAGCTTTGATTGAATTGAATTTTTCATTTTACGAAAAATTTACGTTGATTGGACATGGACCGAGAGGGAAAAGGAAGCCTGTGTGTAGATGTTCTCTGGCTGGAGAAGGAGGGGGATGGGGTGGGTGTCAGCAGAATAGAGACCAAATGGGGAGCAGGTGGGAGCCGGAAGGATGGGTGCCATCATCAGGACATGTTGAGCTTCACTCAGTCCTGGGAGTCACACTCAGCCCTCTGACCACTGTGTGTAGAAGTATCTAGATCTAAGGGGAAAGCTCTCAGCTCTAGGAAAAGCTCTGCAGGTTTGAGGTATGTGGATCGTAACTGAAGTCTGGGGAGCAGAGAAGGTGGTCCAGGGGGGCAGGTGAAACGGGAGACCAGAAGAGAAGAACCCTAGGGTGACCCTGTATCTTTAAGGACAAGTAGAAGAGAAAAGACAGGCAAAGGATAATGAAGAGAGGTTTCCAGAAAGACAGGAAGGCATGTTCCAACGGAGATGGAACTGGAGGGAGTTCAAGAAGGAGTGTGAAAATGGTGGAGTTGGTATTTGGGAGCCCGGGCTGAAGGACTGCGCGTGCTGATGGTGGGTCGCTTTCCTGGCTAATCTCTTGCCTGAAGTGCCTGCAGCCTTGAGCTTCCTCCCTATTAAAAGACAAAAACAAAATACAAGAAGTCTGCACCCAGAAAAGAATCCCTAAAAATATCTGCAATGGCAGCCCAGTATTCTGCGATATGGGTGTGCCGTGGTGTAACGGTCGTGCCCACAGTACAGTGTTAAGGGAAGAAAGCAAGACACCAGCAGGGTAGGAAGGAGGAGTCCGGCTGGGGGACCCATCCATGCGCATTGGTATGCAAACCGAGACATAAGTGCACACATGTGTGGAAATGCAAGCACAATAAGAGAAGGCCCCAGGGGCGTGCTTGTCGGGGTTGGGCTCTTCGGTTTAGCTGAGCTGTGTGCAGCTGCTAGCTCTGTGATGAGCTTTGGAAGAGATGGGGGGGACGACTTCAGTGCCAGGTGGCTGGGGAAGAGAGAAAAGAGAGAATGAGACAATTTCCACCAGGATTACAAGGTTGGAGAAAGCACAGATGTTTAAAGAGTGTGGACAAGGCAGGATTTGCTGCATGGTGTAATGCAAACATCTCTATCATCTCCCAAGGAAGTCTAGAAAAATCTTCATTATTCAGCAATGCTTTGGGAATCGAAATTGGGGAGAATACTGATTGTCCTCCAGATGGCACAGAACAGGGACCACGGCGGCATCCATTTTCTTGTATTAACAAATAATAACACTAAACATTACGACTTCTTGAGCACTTGCTGTATATCAGGAGCTACTCTAAGCCCTTGGCATGTACTATGTCACTAAGTCTCCACCAGCGTAGGTACCATGCTTGTCCCCGTTTTACAGATAAAGCCACTGAGGCAGAAAGAGCTTCATCACTTGTGCAAGGCCACAGAGCTTCAGAGATTTTAATTTTTTGCCTCCACACTACTTTGCCTCTCGGCAAACTAAAGAATATGCCTGTCAGAAATAAGAACAAACTCTCAACCACAATTTTCTCTGAGTAATGAGAATAGAGGTGACTTCCATTTTCTTCTTTTTGTACTTTCTATATATTTCCCATTTCCTATGGTGATCAGGAATCACTACAATCGTATGAAAATACAATGAAAGGATCTCATGACATCGTAACTACCCAAATGGCAGTTACATCCGATCAGGGCGTACAGGAGACCTCTCTTGAAAGGATTTTACACTGGAATAAAGAGTAAATTCATAAAGGAGACCGATTTCTTACCAGAAAGTAGATTGGAAAGGCACTAAGCAACTCCGTGAGACAATAGGGCTGGGGATGTGGCTCAGTGGTGGAATGCCCTGAGTTCAATTCCCAGTGCCACTCTCCCATTGCCCCTCCCCCCAAAAAACAGCTGGTGGCAATGAGAAACTTAAAGAACCTGAGTCACTGCCTGGTCCTTCTCAATACTCCCCTAATTTAGCACATTTCCCAATAAATGTTCAATTAATTGATTAATATGGTTTTCATTTCCACAGTTGATCTACAAAGAAGGAAAGAATTAAGACTGTCTCCCAGGAGGAAGGTGTAAAGCTTGTGACACCAAAGCACAGGGCTCCAGGGACACAGTGTCTTCCTCCCTGGAGATGTTCCCCAGCACCACAGCTTTTGGGGTGAGAAGAAGCAGAGGCCCGGCCATGCTGACTCCAGCGACCCTCGTGGTTTGGGAAGAGGCGGCAAGCCCTAGTCAGGAATCAAATATGAACAAACGTCTAGGCCTGGGCTGAGTCCCCAGCTTAGATGGGCTTTTAGAATTGCAGGGTGTGATGGGACTTCAGGACTTCAAGTGGACAGCCCCTGCAGACCCTACCACAATGTCACCACTTGGCAACCTCTAACCTCCCTCTGACCCTATCTAGGACTTTGGGGTCTGACAGGTTCCTCAAAGATCACATCTACTAACAGATCCCTAGTGAGATATTTAAGCCTCTCTGTCCATCCCATGAAGAACAGATGTCCTGGATTACTCTAAGACATTGAACCTAGTGGACATTCAAGACTTATCGTGCACGACATTCAGCTCAGCCCTCTCTCCCACCCACGGGGACTGCCATCTCTCATCCGAATAACCCAAACCCACGATCGCCGGTGCTTTTAGAATTCTTGATTCATTCCTCTCAGCAGCAATATTTTCAAATAAGACAAAATATGGCTAACTCTGTGAATGCGATTAACCTCCAACTCTCCTTAGGCATCCATTTCCTCCTCTGCGAAATGAGAAAATTAGACCCGAGAATCTCCCACTGAAATCTAATCCAAGACGAACACGGTGAACCTAGGATTACTCTCGCTGGTACAGTGGCAGGTGGGGAGAGAGAAGGTACACAGGATTTCGTGGGAGTCAAACCTGAGCTCCAGGTAGTGATCGCCCTGGCAAAGAGCAAAGGCTGTAAATGGGAAAGTGGGTGTATTCACACCTGAGAGCTGGGTGGCTGCCAAGGGTCCAGGAACACAGAGCAAGGCCAGGCCTCGGCTTACTCAGGAACACGCCCACCTAGGGGGAGGGCCCCACTTGCCCAACAGCTGTCAGGGCTGGGGACAGGGTGCTCAGAGCTTTACGCCAGAGCTTCAGAAGGCACGTCCCCCTCGTACGGCTCTGAGTCTGCAAGAGGCTTGGGGCGGCAGGTGGCTGTTGGGGGAAAACTTGGCAGGGTCTTTTTTTTTTAATATTTACTTTTTAGGTGTAGTTGGACACCATGCCTTTATTCTATTTATTTATTTATTTCTATGTGGCACTGAGGATCGAACCCAGCGCCTCGCACGCGCTAGGAGAGCGCCCTACCACTGAGCCCCAACCCCAGCCCTGGCAGGGTCTTTTCTAGGTGAGATTTTGAAAGCTTTTTTTCCAGGGCTTAGGAAAACCCTGGGCAGATCATCAGTGAGGAAAGATGAATAGAAAACTCCAAGGGGTAAGATATCAGGAAAAAGCAGGTAAAAATAAGATCACAGCCAGGAAAATGCAACCCATGGTGTGGGCACCATGACCATGGCCCCAGGATGCCCCCACAGAGGTCCTCAGCCCTGTCACAGCAGGCAGCCTGCAGCCGTGAGAAGCTCTTGCTGAGCTTGTCTGGCTTCAAGTCCCATCTCATGCGTAATCCACAGTTGTGTGATCGGGACCAATAATTAACCTCCCTAGGCTCATTTTCCTCGTCTGTATAATGGGCAAAATAATACCCACCTCCTGAGGTTCTTAGGGGATTAAGTGAGATTATCCTA